ATTTTAGCTGCATGCATAGTTAATTCAGGCTCCCAACTAGGGTCAGGATTGGTAACATAACCAATATAGTTTCTTCAATAAGTGCTAATAATAAATCAAAAATGTTACGGAGGAAATTTAAAATGGCTGCTAACAAAAGTTCTTTGTTTGAAGCTTCCCCATTATATTTTGATGAGAATCACTCAACTTTGCACATTTCAGTCAAAAGAGCTACAACAGTGCATTACAGCATATGGCATTATAGTCAATTAGTCCCCTGGCCCAGATGAATGTACTGTTGCAAGATTGTTAGTTTTCCACAATGAATAAGTACTTACATCTTATAATGCAGGCTATACTGAAATTTGGTGTCTCAGAGGTAATTATTTGCGCAGTGGTTTATGTAAGGTTGTTCAATAACACAAGTCTTTTTAGGTAAAAAGGATACATATCCAGCCTGCACTATCCAACAAGAAAAGCATTTCTTGGTGAATCTGACCATCTGTTATCCTCTCTGCAGCACCAGGGGGCAGACACAGTTTGAAGCAGCCAAAAACATCAGCGGCCGAGGTGCTGTCCACCCAAGTCAGATGGAGCAGTGTGCAATTATCCAGCAACAGGCAGGATGTGCTGCTTTTAAATGACAGAATCTTCACAGTAAAAGATGAAGGCAGACCTAAAAAACAAAAACAACTTGCTTTGAACTAGCTAAATGCTAAAGAATAAAAAAAAAAGACAAATTTCCTGTAAATCTACATGGTGTGTGGCATTGTCATTTTGACTTTTAAGTGATTAAAACAATCTTATAGACTATTAAGCCAGCATCCAGGAATAGCTTTTTTTAAAAAATTCCATTTTCTAGTCAGGCAGATTTATAAAACTCTGGGAACAGCAACGCAAGAGAAGACATACATTCCATGATGTTTGTTTTCCATACTGTATTGGTCAATAACATGAGTAACTAATTTTAAGAAAACATTTGAGAATAAAATCTTAATGCACAAATCCATTTTCTATCTTCAAGGATATGTGGCCCTGTTAAATTAATATAATGTAAAATGCTTTCTGCACTGTGATCTGTAAATTATAATGATGTAAGTAGCCCTTATGGTACATTATAGAAGCAAAACCAGATCACAGAATGAACTCACTGCCTTTAAAGGAGATAGAGGCAGCAACACTCATTATTTCAGAAGGATTTAGATGTACACTTACAGTGCCAAGGCAGACAAAGTTTTGGGCCAAGTGCTGGAAAATGGGATTAGAGTCATTAGGTGAGACAACAAGGTGCAGGGCTGGATGAACACAGCAGGCCAAGCAGCATCATAGGAGCAGAGAGGCTGACGTTTCGGGCCTAGACCCTTCATCAGAAAAGGGGGAGGGGAAGGGGGTTTTGAAATAAATAGGGAGAGAGTGGGAGGCGGATAGAAGAGGGATAGAGGAGAGGATAGGTGGAGAGGAAACAAACAGGTCGAAGAGGCGGGGATGGGGCCAGGAAAGGTGAGTGTAGGTAGGGAGTTAGGAAGGGGATAGGTCAGTCCAGGGAGGACGGACAGGTCAAGGGGGCGGGATGAGGTTGGTCGGTAGGAGATGGAGGTGCGGCTTGAGGTGGGAGGAGGGGATAGGTGGGAGGAAGAACAGGTTAGGGAGGCAGGGACGAGTTGGACTGGTTTTGGGATGCGGTGGGGGGAGGGGAGATTTTGAAACTTGTGAAATCCACATTGATACCATTGGGCTGCAGGGTTCCCAAGCGGAATATGAGTGGCTGTTCCTGCAACCTTCGGGTGGCATCGTTGTGGCACTGCAGGAGGCCCAGGATGGACATGTCGTCTGAGGAATGGGAGGGGGAGTTGAAATGGTTCGCGACTGGGAGGTGCAGTTGTTTGTTGCGAACCGAGCGTAAGTGTTCTGCAAAGCGGTCCCCGAGTCTCCGCTTGGTTTCCCCGATGTAGAGGAAGCCACACCGGGTACAGCGGATGCAGTATACCACATTGGCAGATGTGCAGGTGAACATCTGCTTGATGTGGAAAGTCTTCTTGGGGCCTGGGATGGGGGTGAGGGAGGAGGTATGGGGGCAGGTGTAGCACTTCCTGCGGTTGCAGGGAAAAGTGCCGGGTGTGGTGGAGCTGGAGGGGAGTGTGGAGCGGACAAGGGAGTCACGGAGAGAGTTGTCCCTCCGGAAAGCAGATAAAGGTGGGGAGGGAAAGATGTCTTTGGTGGTGGGGTCGGATTGCAGATGGCGGAAGTGTCGGAGGATGATGCGTTGGATCCGGAGGTTGGTGGGGTGGTACGTGAGGATGAGGGGGATTCTTTTTTGGTTTTTATTGCGTGGACGGGGTGTGAGGGATGAGGTGCGGGAGATGTGGGAGACACGGTTGAGGGCGTTCTCGACCACCGAGGAGGGGAAGTTACGGTCCTTGAAAAACGAGGACAACTGAGATGTACGGGAGTGGAATGCCTCATCCTGGGAGCAGATGCGGCGGAGGCGAAGGAATTGGGAATAGGGGATAGCATTTTTGCAGGAAGGTGGGTGGGAGGAGGAGTATTCTAGGTAGCTGTGGGAGTCGGTGGGCTTGAAATGAATATCGGTTTCGAGGTGGTTGCCCGATATGGAGACAGAGAGGTCCAGGAAGGGGAGAGAGGTGTTAGAGATGGTCCAGGTAAATTTAAGGTTGGGGTGGAAGGTGTTAGTGAAGTGTATGAACTGTTCGAGCTCCTCGTGGGAGCACGAGGCGGCACCGATACAGTCATCAATGTAACGGAGGAAGAGGTGGGGTTTAGGGCCGGTGTAGGTACGGAAGAGGGATTGTTCCACGTAACCTACAAAGAGGCAGGCGTAGCTTGGGCCCATGCGGGTACCCATGGCCACCCCCTTTGTCTGTAGGAAGTGGGAGGAATTGAAAGAGAAGTTGTTGAGTGTGAGGACGAGTTCGGCTAAGCGGATGAGGGTGTCAGTGGAGGGGGACTGGTCGGGCCTGCGGGACAAGAAGAAGCGGAGGGCCTTAAGGCCATCTGCATGGGGAATGCAGGTGTAGAGGGACTGGACGTCCATGGTAAAGATGAGGTGTTGGGGACCGGGGAATTGGAAGTTCTGGAGGAGGTGGAGGGCGTGGGTGGTGTCACAGACATAGGTAGGGAGTTCCTGGACCAAGGGGGAGAAAATGGAGTCGAGATAGTTGGAGATCAGTTCGGTGGGGCAGGAGCAGGCGGAGACAATGGGTCGACCAGGGCATTCAGGTTTGTGGATTTTGGGAAGGAGATAGAAGCGGGCAGTGCGAGGTTGGGGAACGATGAGGTTGGAGGCCGTGGGTGGGAGGTCACCTGAGGTGATGAGGTTGTGGATGGTTTGCGAGATGATGGTTTGGTGCTCAGGGGTGGGGTCATGATCAAGGGGGCGGTAGGAGGAGGTGTCGGAGAGTTGGCGTCCGGCATCGGCGATGTAGAGGTCAGTGCGCCATACTACAACTGCACCTGGTGGTTGTTTTTTGACTGGCGCAACTCAATGGGCCAAAGGACCTTTCTCTTGGCTGCAAACCTCTAAGACTCTATGATACGATACAGGAGAAGGCTCTTTGATCCATCATGCCCGTTCCAGCTCTTTGAAAGAACTATTCTATTAGTCTCACTGTCTTTCTCTTTCCTTGTAAATTTTTTTACTTCCGAGTATTTATCCAAATTCCCTTTTGAACATCATGATGGCATCAACAACTGTATGCCAGATCACAACACTTGCTATGTAAAACTGCTGTTCCTGACGCTTCATTTATTTCCCACAACTATTTACTACTTATCACCCAGGTCTTTCAACAGCACCTTCCAAGCCCACAACCTCAAACAACTAGGACACTGGCAACTGATGCAGGGGAGCAGCAGCACATGCCTCTTCAAGCTACACACCATCCTAATTTTTTTCTTTAAAATTCATTCGGGGATGTGGGTGTCACTGGCTAGGGCAGCATTTATTACCCACTCCCCAGAGGGCAGCTAAGAGTCAACCACATTGCTGTGGGTCTGGAGTCACATGTAGGCCAAGCCAGGTAAGGATGACAGTTTCCTTCCCCAAAGGACATTTGTGAGCCAGATGGAGTGTTCTGACAATCGACAACGGTTTCACAATCATTAGACTCACAGAACTTGGAACATAGAACAGTACAGGCCCTTCGGCCCACGATGTTGCGCTGAACTTTTACCCTAATCCTAAAGTCTATCTAACCTCCATCCCTACCTTATACTATCATCCATATGCCTATCTAATAGCTGCTTAAATGCCCTAACGAGGCCGACTCCACTACCCGCTCCAGCAATGCATTCCACACCCCGACCACTCTCTGAGTAAAGAACCTACCTCTGACGTCCCCCCTATATCTACCTCCACTCACCTTAAAACTATGCCCCCTCGTAATAGCTACCTCCACCCTAGGAAAAAGTCTCTGGATGTCTACTCTATCTATACCTCTGATCATTTTCTACACCTCTATCAAGTCACCTCTCATTCTTCATCATTCTAAAGAGAAAAACCCCAGCTCTCTCAACCTTTCCTCGTAAGACCTTCCCTCCATTCCAGGCAACATCCTGGTAAATCTCCGCTGCACCTTTTCCAATGCTTCCACATCTTTCCTGTAATGAGGCGACCAGAACTGGACACAATACTCCAGATGTGGCCAAACCAGGCTTTTTGTATAGCTGGAGCATAACTTCATGGCCCTTGAACTCAAACACGCCTTCTTAACAACTCTATCCACCTGGGTGGCAGCTTTCAGGGAACTGTGGACATGAACCCCAAGATCCCTCTGCTCCTCCACACTGCCAAGAATCTTTCCCTTAACCCTGTATTCTGCTTTCAAGTTTGTCCTTCCAAAATGAATCACCTCACACTCTTCAGGGTTAAACTCTATCTGCCACTTCTCAGCCCAGCTCTGCATCCTATCAATGTCCGGTTGTAACCTCGAACAGCCCTCCACATTGTCCACAACGCGACCCACCTTCATATTGCCCGCGAACTTACTAATCCACCCTTCCACTCCTTCATCCAAATCATTTACAAAAATCACAAATAGAAGAGGACCCAGAACAGATCCTTGTGGTACACCACTCGTAACTGAGCACCATGTTGAATACATTCCGTCCACTACCACCTTTTGTCTTCTAAGGGTCAGCCAATTCTGAATCCAATCTGCCACATCTCTCCCTATCCCATGCCTCCTTACCTTCTGCATGAGCCTACCATGGGGAACCTTATCAAACGCCTTACTTAAATCCATGTATACCACAGCCACTGCTCTACCTTCATCCACGTGTTTGGTCACCTCTTCAAAGAATTCAATAAGGTTTGTGAGGCATGATCTACCCCTCACAAATCCATGCTGACCATCACAAATCAAACTGTGCCTTTCCAAGTGATCATAAATCCTATCTCAGAGCCCTTTCCAATAATTTGCCCACCACTGACGCAAGACTAACTGGCCTGTAATTTCCGGGGTTATCCTTATTCCCTTTTTTGAACACGGGAATGACGTTTGCCTCTCTCCAATCTTCCGGCACTATACCCGTGGACAGTGAGGACGAAAAGATCATTGCCAAAGGCCCTGCAATCTCTTCCCTCGCTTCCCATAGTATCCTTGAATAAATCCCATCAGGCGTGGGGGACTTATCTATCTTCAACTTCCTCAAAATTCCTAGCACATCATCCTTACCAACAGCGGCCTCCTCTAGCCTACCAGCCTGTTTCACACTGTCCTCCTCTACAACTAGGTCCCTCTCAGTTGTGAATACCGAAGAAAAGTATTCATTAAGGACCTCTCCTATCTCTCTAGGCTCCGTGCACAAATTCCCTTTACAATCCTTGATCGGCCCTACCCTTTCTCCGGTCATTCTCTTATTCCTCACATATGTGTAAAAAGCCTTGGAGTTTTCCTTGATCCTATCTGCCAAGGTTTTCTCATGCCCCCTTATAGCTCTCCTAAGCCCTTTCTTCTGCTCCTTCCTGGATAGCTTGTATCCGTCTAGAGCCTCTTCCATTCCTCATTTCCTCAACCTTACATAAACATCCTTCTTCCTCTTAACCAGTCGTTCGACCTCTCTTGAGAACCAAGGCTCCCTTGCTCGACCGCATCTTGCCTGCCTGCTAGGGACAAACATAATCGAGCACACGCAGTATGCATTCCTTAAACAATCTCCACATTTCAATAGTGCTCTTCCTTGACAGCATCTGTTCCCATTTTATGTTACCCAGTTCTTGCCTAACAGAATTATAATTACCCTTCCCCCAATTATAAACCTTACCCTGCTGTATGTACCTATCCTTTTCCATGACTATTGCGAAAGTAACAGAGTTATGATCGCTACCGCCAAAATGCTCTCCCACCAACAGGTCTAACACTTGGCCCGGTTCATTGCCAAGCACCAAATCCAAAGTGGCCTCTCCTCGTGTTGGTCTATCTACATACTGTGTCAGGAATCCTTCTTGAACACAATGGACAAAATCCTCTCCATCTAAACTATTACAACTAAAATGTTTCCAATCAATATTTGGAAAGTTGAAGTCACCCATGACTACAACCCTGTGACTTCTGCACCTTTCCAGCATTGCCTCCCAATCCGCTCCTCCACTTCTCTGCAACTATTACGGGGTCTGTAAAAAACCCCCAACAAAATGACTGCTCCTTTCTTGTTCCTTACCTCAACCCAAACTGACTCTGTAGACATATCGTTCTCGAACTGCCTTTCAGTAGCTGCTATACTCGCCCTGACAAGCAATGCCACTCCCCCGCCTCTTTTTCCACCCTCCTTATTTCTTTTAAAGCAACTAAATCCTGGGACTTCCAACAACCATTCCTGTCCCTGAGTTACCCAAGTTTCTGTGATGGCCACAACATCGTAGCTCCAAGTACTGACCCACACTCCAATCATCCGCCTTATTTCCGATACTTCTAGCATTGAAGTATACACACCTCAAACCATCTGTGTCCACAATTTCGCTCCATCGATCGCATTTCTTTATTAACAACCTCACTCCCTGTTGTGTGTCTGTTGGAAGGCTGAATGTCTCATCCTCTGAATTACAAATCCAGTTCCCACCCCTTGCCAATCTAGTTTAAACCATCCCGTATAGCTCGAGCAAACTTCCATCCCAGGATATTTGTGCCCTTCCGGTTCAGTGTCCTTACTGTACAGGTCCCACCTTCCCCAGAATGTGCTCCAATTATCCACATAATGGAAGCCCTCCCTCCTACACCAGCCCTGTAGCCACGTGTTTAGCCACACTCTCTCCCTATTTGTTACCTCGTTATCACGTGGCACTGGTAGTAATCCAGAGATAACTACCCTGTTTGTCCTGGACTTCAGCTTCCAACCTAACTCCCTGTACTCGTTTTTCGCATTCTCAGTCCTTTTTCTACCTACATCACTGGTACCGATGTGTACCATGACTGCTGGTTGCTCACCCTCCCCCTCAAGGATCTTGAAGACACGATCCAAGACATCACGGATCCTGGCACCCGGGAGGCAACATACCATCCGTTCATCTCATTCGCGTCCATAGAACCGCCTGTCTGTGCCTCTTACTACTGAATCCCCCACTACAATTGCTCTCCTATTCTCCCCCCTTCTCTTCTGTGCCACAGGGCCAGGCTCAGTGCCAGAGACCTGTCCGCCAAGGCCTTCCCCTGGTAGGTCGTCCCCCACAACAGTATCCAAAACGGTATACTTATTATTGAGGGGAACGGCCAAAGGGGATCCCTGCACTGTCTGCCTATTCCCTTTCCCCTTCCTGACAGTCACCCAGCTACCTTTTTCCTGTACCATGGGTGTGACCACCTCCTTATAACTCCTCTCTATCACCCCCTCAGCCTCCCGAATGATCCGGAGTTCATCCAGCTCCAGTTCCCTAATGCGGTTTGTGAGGAGCTGGAGTTGGGTGCACTTCTCGCAGGTGAAGTCAGAGGGGACACCAGCAGTAACCCTTACTTCCCACATCCTGCAAGAGGAGCATGCAACTGCCCTAGCTTCCATTCCCTCTACTCTAGATTTCCAGAAGAATAAAAAAAGCCTCACCTTACCGGCCCTCCACACAGTCATTTTTTTTGGTTAGAGGGGGAGGATGGGTGGGAGACACGTGTAGTGTTTCGGGTTTAGCCAATGCCTGAATGTATCAGTTCCTTCCTGGCTCGCGTTCTCTCCACAAACCCGCCGCCGAAAACAAGGCAGCCTGCTGCACGAGGTAAGTTTTTATACAGGGAAAAAAACGTTACCCTCCCGTCAGCACCCTGGCTCGCACTGCTGCCGCTGAAAACTCCGAATTCCAAATGTTATATTGAATTCAAATTCCACCATCCGCCATGGCAGGATTTGAACGCAGATCCCCAGAATATTAATTGGGTCTCTGGATTAATAATCTAGCAATAAAACCACTAGGCCATTGCTCAGCCTATAGTTTGGAACTATAATCGTTCATCGCTCAACATCACTGGAATCTTGGAACTGCCTTCCTAACAGAATAACGTATACCCTAAACATTACAATGGTTCAAGAAGGTAGCTCACCAGCACCTTCATCAGAGGAACTGGGGATGGGCAATAAAACAGTGGCCCAGCCAGTGATGCCCACATCCCAGTTACAATCCCCAAATACACCCATTTTCACCAGTTGGATGAGGGTGGATTTCTTTACTAAACACAGTAACACTCACTCAGGTTCTTGCTTTCAACCAACTTCTTCAGTGCTTCCTCACTACAGCTGTGGGTATTGGTGATGTCACAGATGCCATCCTGGACACACAGCTCGTAGATCCCCAGGTCATTGCGACTATTGAGAGCAAGAAGGCGTTCCTTAACAGGTGAAGCCTGTAAGATCTCAGTTGTTTCCCAAACAAACCTGTCCAAAAAAAAAAACAAAACTAGAAAATACATTGAGAGGTAAAAGAAACATATCAATAATGTTTCCATTGGCTGTAGTTACTGCAACTAACTGCTGTACCAGAAAAATGATGTAGGCCAAGATGAAGTAGGTTGGGAGGGCAGTCAAGTGGAGCTTAAACACCAGCAGAGAGCAGGTGTCCATGAGCCAGTTTTTGTGCTACTTTCTAAACAATAAACATTGACAGTTTGTATAGATTTCAATGATTAAGGCTTTGCTTTCAGTATATTAATTATTGTGTGTTCAATCAGTGGCTTGCTCTTCCAAGGGCTTACCCTGACAAAAACATCCATTTCACTCAACTGCAGACAGACACAATCAACCTCTTCCAACACTGCATTGTGAAGGATTGCATGGAGAGCACAAAAAAAAATGAAAGGACAAATATTAAATTTTTTGCATGATCTGGCTCTACTAATCTAGGTTTTGCCCATATCTGATTCGATCTCTTTAGCATCGAGACCTTCAAGAATGAGAAATACTAATAATTAGAATGAACCGAGGGTAGAGCTCAGACTTCAACCAGAACAGCTGTCTGAGGAGCGTCGTACATCATGGGGATACCTGTGACCCTGGTGGATTCAAAACACAAAGGATTAAATTTCAGTTGGAATTCACATGAAGCGAGTCTGAGCCAGAGGCAGTCACTGAGGAATGTGATGTGGCAGCGAGTTTTGGCAAATACCTTGTCAAAATCCAGCTACAACAACAATGGTGAACCAAAAAAAAAGTGATTAGAATAGAAAGTGGCAGAGAGGATCAAAACCTCTTCAAGGTAGGCATACCTGGAACAGAAAGGGCATGGAGTTAAACTCTTAAACAAAGAAAGCAAAAATCTACAGATGCTGGATATCTAAAACAGTTCTGAAGGGTCACTGAACCCAAAATGTTAACTCTGCTTTCTCTCCACAGGTGCTGCCAGACCTGCTGAATTTCTCCTGCGTTTCTGTGTTTTGTTTCACTTGTGCAGGAATTGTCACACGACAGGAGACTGAAAAGGTTCGGTTTGTGCTCATTTAACGTTTAGAAGAATGAGAGGTGACTTGATTGAAACATAGAAGATTCTTAGGGTGCTTGGTGGGGTGGATGAGGAGAGATGGCTTCCCTTTGCTTTACAGTAAAGGAGCAGAGGGCATAATTTCAGAGTAAGGGGCCACCCATTCAACTCAGAAATGAGGAAGTATTCTCTCAGAGGGTGGTGAATGTGTGGAATTCTTTACCAGAGAGCCTGGGTCATTAAATATATTCAAGGGTGAGATTAATTTTTAATCATAAAAGAATCAAAAATCATTGGGAAAAGACAGGAAAACTGAGAGTTATCAGATCAGTCATGATCACACAGAACGGAGAGGATCTGATGGGCTGAATGGCCTATTTCTGTTCCTAAATCTCATGATCTTACTCCCTGTTCTGTGCCTCAAAACCCTTTCCCACTACCGGACTACAGTTCCCAGAATGCCGAGCCGGGGGACCGGTCACGTGGGCGGATGGCGTCACACGACGGGTTCGGGTCGCCGCTGTCACCTCAGGACAACTCACTCAGTGAAGCTCCCGGCCTGAGCAGCTACTCTCCTCCGGCAGCAGCGGCCTGAATCCTGACAGCGGGCGGTGAAGCACAGGCCGCCCCCTCGGTTTGAGGGCGGCTCCAGACCGCACAGAGCCTGACCACAACCCACGGCCTTGGCCTTCAGCACACCCTTGGCCTCTCTCCATTCTGGCGCATCGTCCAGCAAGACTTCGAGAACCTTCGGGCTGGTCTCCATGGCCTTACCGAGACCCAGGCCCCGCAGACACCTGCTGTTGTTAAACGGGAACCGGGGAGCCACGGACCGCAACAACCTAGCTTGATGATGGTGGGCGGGGCCTCTGATTGACAAGGGTCTCAGCCTATCGGCTTCATGATTCGGTGCCGTCAGGGACAGTGAACCAATCGCCGGAGAGGGGCGGGGATTTTGCCATCAAGTTTGGATGCGTATCAGACAACATTCTCCCCCATGAATCAGAGCAAAGCAATCGATCCCGGATTGTGGTATATCAGTGTAGAGGCTGTTCAGCCAAATGGGCAAACAGCGACAAGTGGAGTTTATTGCTGAAATGTGTGATGATGATGATGATGTTACAGCTAGACTATTAATCTAGAGATCCAGGGCATGTTCTGGGGCCCTGGGTTTGAATCCCACAATGGAAGATCATGGAATTTGAAATCAATAAATATCTGGAATGAAGAGTCTCATGACCATAAAACCAATGCTGAAAACACATCTGCCATCTTCGCCTGGTCTGGCGGAAAAGTTACTCCAGAACCACAGCAATGTGATTAACTCTTAACTCCCTTCTGGACAATTAAGGATAGGCAGTAATTGATGGTCAAATCAATGACACCTACAATATCACAAATTGAAAAAAAAAGTGATGTATTTTGGGAAGACTAACAGCGAGGGAGCACATGTTGAATGGTGGGAGCTTAGGAAAAATAGAGGATGTTCATAGATCCTTGAGGTCAGCAGGATAGGTACTGTAGATAAGGTGGTTAAGGTGGTGTATGGGCACTTGCCTTGATTAGTCAAAGCATTGAATCCAAGAACAAGGAGGTTGAGGGAGCTGTATAAAATAGGTCACAGCTGTGATCCTTGTGCAATTATCGTCACCACATATGAGGAAGGATAGAACTGTAGTAGGAGTAACACAGGAGATTCACCAGGACCAAAAGAACTGTGGATGCTGTAAATCAGGAACAAAAACAAAGTTGCTGGAAAAGCTCAGCAGGTCTGGCAGCATCTGTGGAGGA